AAAATAGAGAAGTATTGTGGAACAACGAGGACATATTGCAACGATGGAAACAATATTGCGAAGAACTATACAAGGACGAAGTAGACATAGTAAACGAAGTTCAAGTACCTCACATAATAAACGAACTGGAACCAAATATATTGAAGAGCGAAGTAGAAGAGGCCATAACTCACCTCAAATTAAACAAAACCCCAGGAACAGACGGTGTCTCAGCTGAAATGATAAAGTTGATAGGGGAGGAAGGTGTGAAAATAGTACATAACATCTGCAATAAAGTATGGCAGTCTCGACGTTGGCCTAAAGATTGGACAATTCTGCTTTCATCCCAATTCACAAAAAAGGATCCACACAAAAATGCCAGAATTATCGAACAATATCCCTAACGTCACATACAAGCAAGATCTTACTTAGGATAATTGACCGAAGACTTCAGAGGTACTTGACGCCTGAAATACCTCCTGAACAAGCCGGATTCGTGAAAGGAAGAGGCACAAGAGATCAAATATTTAACATACGTCAACTCATAGAGAAATCCCGAGAATTTAATTCGCCTAGGTTCTTGTGTTTTATAGACTACAAGAAGGCTTTCAATTGTGTGAGGTGGAAAACCTATGGAAGGTTCTGAGCGAAATGGGAGTTCCGAATCATCTAGTGGCTCTTATTAACAATTTATATGACAATAATACGGCAATTGTCAACCTAGATAACAAAACGTCGGAACCTTTCAAACCTAGAAAAGGGGTACGCCAGGGCTGTATACTGTCACCCAGTTTGTTTAATGCCTATGGTGAATACATCATGAGACGTGCTTTGGAGGCGAGGAAGGAGGAATCTAGTGAACGGGAAAATCCTAAACAACCTCAGGTACGCGGACGATACCACCCTGATAGCGAAAAGTGAGGAAGAAATGGCCCGGTTGCTGGAAAGAGTTACCATCGAAAGCAATAATCTTGGTCTAGAAATAAACACTGATAAAACCAAACTCATGCTGATTGATAGAAGTGGTGCAGTTCGATTACACAATCTCCTCCCTAATATAGAAAGAGTAGATCAATTTATATACTTAGGTCTTTAATAACAAATAATGGGGGCTGTGAAACAGAGATAAGAAGGCGTATAGCTATGGCACGGACGGCTATGATGAGCCTAAGAAAAAAATGGACAGATAGGAGCATTACTATAAACACCAAAAAAACCTTGTTCGATCTTTGGTGTTCTCCATATTCCTATACGGGTCTGAGTCATGGACCGCCAAGATAGCTCGAAGAACGAACCAGTCAATTCTTAATGAACTCGGCATCACAGATCGATTATCCACCATCTGCCGTAGACGCATCCTGCAATATTTCGGTCATATCACCCGCAGAGGTGAAGACAACCTTGAAAAAATTATAGTACAAGGCAAAGTAGAAGGTCGAAGAGCCAGAGGACGATCACCATCGAGATGGCTTGACCAAATAGCAAATATTACAGGTCATCCATTTCAATCAAATCTCCGAGAGGCGGAAGATCGCTAACGATGGAAGATCAAAGTCACCAACTGCATATAGCCATAATGGCACGATTCTTCAGACATGAAGAGACGACGAAGAAGAAGAAGAAGACTCAAGTCAGTAAAATGATTTACCTCCTCTATAAGCGTTGTTCCAATGATAAATGGAGAGACATTGTTGGTACAAACTCTCATCGATTTAGGTTTTTTAACATTGATCTTAAGACCTGCAATTTTAGTTTTATTTTTGATAAGTCAAGTAGTTTTGATGCCATATCCCCATGACTATGAGAAAGGACATATATATTATCTGCATCATAAATAAGATCTTCTAACATGCTAAAGGGAGTCCATATTCCACGATGATTCTTGGAAAGTCTTCCCTTTAGAATATCATCTAAGAGGATATTTAAAACAAATAGCGACAAGACGCAACCCTGCTTCACCCCATTCCGAATGTTGATGGATTCACTTCGTTGATCCTTAGGCAAGACTGCACATTGAGCCTTACAATACAGAGCGCTTTTATGATTTTTACAATTTTATTAGGAATACTAGCTCTGCTGAGGGTTGGTCAAAGAGATTGGCATTTCATGATCAAACGCATGCTCAGAATCAACCAACATCAAGAAAAAAGGTAAACGTCATTCCAATATTGAACAACGACTATACGGAGTGTATTTATAACATTTATTTGATCTACGCTTTTCCCCATTCTATACCGTATTTTCGGTATTTTTTAAAATTTTTAAGAGATGCATTTCTTGACAAAACTGACTGCCCGGTTTGGCTGCTTTCCGAATGTCGAAGATTATGCAAAATCAGCGGCGAAGCTTCCATTGATGTGGGTGATGCGTCGCATCCCTTCAAAATATTGTAATACGTTTTTATTTAAAAAAGTCACTGAGATCTCCTATCATAAATTAAAATTCTCGGTAAATTTATTCAAATAATTAAATTCAATCTCAAATCTAAAGCCCCGTTCTCAGAACAGCGACTATCGCCAGCGACACGTCAAAAGAACCAATCAGGTTTGTACAACGTTCAAACAGCTGTCAATTTTAAATTTAGTACAGCTCCCATTGGTTGTTTGAAATGTCAAACTGTGTCGCCAGCGACACGACGTCGTTCTGAGAACGGGTCTTAAGCCCCGGGGTGCAACTTTGTTCATGTTTCAAAGCGATAGCAAAGTAATTTTGTAGCTTGAGGCACTATATTCAGTAGCAACATTGATTCGTAACGATATTCTGATTTCTCGCTTTGTGGCGAGGCGACTGCCTAGACCGTGTCGCACACGTGTGCAAGAGTGTGATAGTGATACCATATTTAGCAGCATTTGCCGAGAATACCCGATTTTATAAAGCGACAATAGTTTTTGCAATGAACATAGTACCGATCATGCTTCGACATCGCTTCTAAACGAGCGGTTGCTAGCTTGAACAAAGTTGCACCCCCGTTCTCAGAACAGCGACTGTCACCAGTGACACGTCAAAAGAACCAATCAGATTTGTACAAAATTCAAACAGCAAATTTTAAATTTAGTACAGCTTAAGACCTACGCTAATCTTGACAGCGCGATGATGTGACTGTTATCGTTACATCTTGAACGCCGCCGAACGCGAGCCGGGTTTACCGAACTTTCCGGCCGTTACGTCTCCCGTTCGCTGTTTCAGTCCATGGGTGATGCAGTTTTTTAAACACATCTTCGTGGTATAAAATTAAAAAAAATCACACGTTCGCGGTATAAAATGAAAAATATCGTCGCACCTCACGATGACCGATTCTGAGTACGGTTGTAAAATCAAAATAATTTTGCAATCATCCTTCAGTTCTAAGGTGTATTCAGAAAAATTAAAAACTAATGAAGAGGGACCTTCAAAGCATATTTTGAATATGTTAACGCTAAATTAAAATTGTGTATTTGCCATTCTAGTGAAAATGTTTATAAAAGTGAACACTGGTTATGTGGTTGTAAGGCACTCAATAAACTTTTTTGTTGGTCTTGCCTACTATTTTATCTAACAGATACGTTCACAGTTTTGTTTTTTTTTACCCAAATTTACTTCTTTTTTAAATTGGTTTGATTCTTTTTTTAACCTGTTACATTTTTTTAACTGCAAAATTGAAGTCTTTAATAAAAAGAAGAAAAGAAAAAAACTTTATTCTATTGGCAAAATGTGAATTGCAGTTACTTATTACATCCCCTTGTATTGACACCACGCTACGCCGCTGTACAAAATCGAAATCAAATCAAAAGTAAAACTATTTTTTTTTCGGTTTTTGCTCCAAATGATGTTGACTTTTTTTTCTTTATAATATTAAATATCGTAATAAATATCAGGGGCAGCAAGTCCTAAAAGGCACAAGGTAAAAAATATATGAATAATTTTTTTTTCATTGCATTATATACGATCAAAAACTGAAGTCATTTCTAGGTTGAAAACTAGAAAAGTATAAACTTTATATTACTAAGACTAGTAGCAAAAACGTTTTTCTTGTGCAGACTCTCAATCCTCCCTCATAACTCACAAAAACTACTACTGGTAAAGTTATAATAAAACCCATGTAATAAGTAGGCACTCACTTTCTTAGTATATCTCGAGCTATTAAAATCTTGAGCCAGTTTTCTTGTTTTGTGGTATTCTATCATAATTTTTTATCAATGCCACTTTTAAAACTTTGACAAAGTCATTGATGACTGTTCAGTTAATATTAATTTTTTAAATTTACTGCAAATTGTCATTATAGAAACAGAAAAAAATATATTTTTTAATAATCTAATTTTATAGTTACATTTACTATAAAATTGAAAAAATCAGTGATATATTTGGTTTTACATAATATAAAAATTTTATAATAATTTGAATTTTTTTTAACAAGTAAAATAAAAATTATTTTAGTCCAACACTGTCTGAAATTTTCAGGCTACAATTTTTAGTTGACCTCTACATGCGACACACCACAGTTGCCAAATTTCCCTAGAAAAACTGAGGAAAGTAAAGAGTAAAGTATTCCATACGTTAATAACTAACTAAATAATGTATTTTAATTGATATTAATACACATATGTTTTTTAACATTAATTAGAATATTTAATACCTACAAGGTTTATATTAAAAATATAAGTACAAAGTGAAAATTTATAGTACACTACAATATTTATATTTCTCATAAAAATAGATGAAGCTGGCATCGTGGCGTAATGCCGTCAATCACGATTTTATCCCGGATGCCCGGATTGGTCCGGAAATGCTTAATTAGGGTTGTTCTCTAGAAGTTGCGTGTTTTGTTTACAATTTTTTCGGCATTGGTTCTGTTATGTAACACTGAAACTGTGCACAATTTTTTCACCAACGCAAAGTAAGAAGTATTCTAACTTAAATACACATTCTTAACTGAAATTTAACAAGCTACAGTATCAGCGGGGTGAGTAAGCAAAGTTTATTTTTAGGTTATTTCAGTCTATTGGCTATTCAAAATACAAAAAAATGATATTTTTCAGAGTTTTAATTATTGTAGAACATAGTATAGTAAATTGAACTGAAATATTTTAATCGAAACAAATGTTTTGGAATATTTTATCAAGACATTGAGGAATAATAAAAAATTCAAGTTATTTTTGGAAAAGTGATAAGGAAATAAAACATATTCACTCTAATGCATTTTGTAATAATGACACGCAATGAATTTCAGTGCATTGTAAAAACTAATTAGAATTAAATATTTTGCAAATGCTTATTCAACACATTGTTGTAATAATCAACTCATTGCACTTTTTATTAATATCTAATTAGGTTTTTCCATCAGTCAAGTGGAATAACATAATATCTTTTATTAAGCTAAATCAAACTTTTCAGGTAAGATAAAATTTGATAAAATATAGCTATTGTGTTTGGTTTTCAAAATTTTAGATTAGAGATAAGTACCTAGATTGGTATTCTATTCTGAAATTAATTTCTATTTCTATAGTACTATTGTGCAGTTTTATGTTTAAGTTTTTAAAACAAATGAACTTATTTATTCAATTAAGCAGTTTTTAAGGTATTTAATTTTTAATAACAGTACTTTCTCTAATATAATAAATGTGTATTAAAAAATATACATGTTCTGATGCGTATGTTCAATTATATTTGATTTATTAGGAGTGAATAATAAGAAACTCATTTTTAATTAATATAATTTATTTTTTAGGAAGTTATAATGGCCAGTACAGTGACTTCTGAACAATTTTCATTAAGATGGAACAACTTCCATTCGAATTTAAAATCGGGATTTCATGAGCTGTTGCAGCAAGCTGACATGGTTGATGTAACATTGGCTGTCGATGGACATTTTCTGCAGGCTCATAAAGTGGTTTTATCTATCTGCAGTCCATATTTCAAACAACTATTTAAGGTCAACCCTTGTAAACATCCAATAGTCATATTAAAAGATGTTTGTCACGAAGATATGAAGGATATATTACAGTTCATGTATATGGGAGAAGTAAGTGTACTAAGAGATAATTTATCGTCCTTTTTAAGAACTGCTGAGATCTTACAAGTCAAAGGATTAACTGGTGATGAATCGGTAACTATTTGTACTTCTGTTTATTTCAAAAATATTATTAGTAACAATTTTTAGAATGAAGATAGTCGGTCTCAAAAAGATGAAAAATGTGATATAGATACGGAAGGAGAAAGTGACATATATAACCAACTCATTGAAACAACAACTGACATTGATTTGCCCACACCATACTCACAACAGTTCCCTGTACAAACTTCACCTTTACCTCTAAATACTTCAAAAAGACAGTCCAAAACACTTACTCCCCCGCACACTAAAAAACCTAAATGTTCCGACTCTTATTCTGCTAGTTCTAATTCTGTTAAGCCAGCCGTAACAAACAAAGAATCTGAAATACCAAAGCCTAAATCCGAATACAAAAGCTGTGATTTTTCAAATGCTCAAAATTTAAATAGTGTTAAGTCTGTTGGAGAGAATGAAGAAGCCAAAGATTACTCAAAAGCGTGTGGAATATTATGGGAAAGTAATACAACAACAAATGTTACAGGAATTGGTACAGCTACTTCTACTGCAGCAAATAATACCGATGCATATACAACAGATCAAGGTATGTTGGTAAATAGTTTTTCTCTTTTTGCTTTTGTAGGGAGCAAAATACATGATTGTCTTTTTTTCTGTATTGCACATAAGGTACACAGTTACTTTTAATTAATTTATGAGTTTTTTTAAGTATTCAATTAATGTTTTATTTATGAAGCTATGCCCAAGATGGACTGGCAAAGTTGAAATATATTTGTATGCCTTTAATATAGTAGCCATTCATAGCATAGCAAATATAAAATTTACCACGTCATCATTTTCAAAGTCTTTTGAAAGTTCTGAAGCATAGTTTCTACTTCTCATCTCATAGAACAAGTATATTATTATACCTTTATGTTAAATAGGTAATGATTATAAACATCTACAGCAGAACTTTAACTGTCCCGATGTCCATTATACATTAGTATGTATACAGGGTGTCCCAATATTCCGTGGACATAGAACTACTACGTATTCTTGGAATCAAAATAAGTTAATTGGACACAATTTACCTCTATACAAAAGTGCTTCATTTGTCCGTTAGAGGGCATCAAACTTTAAAAAAATAAACACATTTTTTCAAATATTTTAATAAACGTAAAATCGATATTTTCGCCAACTAGATTATTAAGAGATTATTAGATTTTATGCGCTTCCATAGCTTGATGTGACAAAAAATATTTTTTGGAAGTCAGCTTCGGAAAAATATTTTTTTTCTTCAAAAAATATGTGCGGTGGCCTTTTTTACAAGAAACAAAAATGTAGCAAATACTAAAAGGACCATTTTACGAAAAAAAAATCGGTTGTCGGTTGAGTTGGAAAATATTAATAGTAAAATGTAGTATATAGGGGTGGGGGTAGTTTTCACCCTTCCCATACTTTTTATCGATTTTTGTGAAAGTCAAATGTTAAAGCACTTGGCAAAACATAGACACCCAAAATCTCAATCAAATAGGAAAAACGGTTCTTAAAATATCTGAAAAAATATGTTATTTTTTTGAAGTTTGATGCCCTCTAACGGACAAACGAGGCACTTTTGTATAGAGGTAAATTGTGTCCAATGGACTTACATTGATTCCAAAAATACGTAGTAGTCCACGGAATATTGGGACACCCTGTATAATGCTTTACTATATTACTATACAGGGTGTCCCACTAAGAATAGCTCTCGGCTGTATCTCGCAAAGTATTAGTCGCAGAGCTTGCGGAAAAAAATATTTATAACTAATGAGACCATGAGAAATTGCTGAAAATTATTTTCAAGTTTGTAGGACGACCGCTAGAGGGTGTAACTGCTATGGAAATAACAAAATGGAATTTTTAAGAAATTTTTCTTAGATACGATATACTATAAATAATAGCTTCATAATCTTCAGTAAATTTTGGATCTTTTTTATTAGAACCATTTTCCCCTATCTGCTAAAATAAAGTGGTGGGTGGAGGTTAGATCTGTTTCTATTTAAATATTAATAACTCCGGACTGGATGATCGGAATCCAACAAGCGAGGGCTCGTTTAAAAGAGCGTTTCTTACTCTATATTGTACCATATAAACAATAATAATAAGTTTTTGAACGTAGACGCTAGGGGGCGTTGTCTTACAATTTAACAAACATTGCGCGTTTTTTCAAAAAAATTAAATGCGATAGTATATGTAATTTTAGCTGATAGTAAAGAATAATAAAAGCTTAACAAGTCAGCGAAAACCGCATCTTGATATCTTTTTCAAGCCAAAGTTATTAGCAAAATTATAATAAATATGAAAATAGAAGCCCTTATTTACCTTATTTTTCTAACATGATATCACTAGCCCTCTTGATTATGAACATTCTAATAAAAAATAATATAGAAAAGATTATTTTATTGAAAATATCGACAATGAACCAGAAAACCATAATACTAGGTGTATTAATATCTAATAATTAAGATACCAATGACTGTGGATAAGAAACGACACCTCAGTGAATTCATGGTAGGCTTTGGAAAAAAGTTGCTTTTAAACGGATAGTTTAAACATCAAAATATTATTATATCAACATTTTGATAGTCTCAGCAGCCTTTTTTTTATCTTTTGATTGGTTTTCTAAAAATGCCTTTCTTCAACAGAGAAAAAACGCTGCTAAGACTATCAAAATGTTGATCTAATAACACTTTGACGTTTATACTATTACGTCAAAAGCAACTTTTTTCCAAAGCCTACCATGACTTCACTGAGGCGTCGTTTTTTATTAACTGTCATTGATATCTTAATTATTAGATATTAATATATCTGGTATTATGGTATTCTGGTATATTGTCGATTTTAGAATAATCTAATCATTTATATTTTATTTTTTTGTCAGAATGTTCATAATCAAGAGGGCTAGTAATACCGTGTTAGAAAAATAAGGTAATTAAGTGCTTATATTTTCGTATTTATTATAATTTTGCTAATAACTTTGGGTTGAAAAAAGATATCAAGATGCGGTTTTGCTGACTTGTTAAGCTTTTATTACTTTTTACTATCAGCTAAAATTACATATCCTATCGCATTTCATTTTTTTGAAAAAACGCGCAATGTTTGTTAAATTGTAAGACAACGCCCCCTAGCGTCTACGTTCAAAAGCTTATTATTATTGTTTATATGGTACAATATAGAGTAAGAAACGCTCTTTTAAACGAGCCCTCGCTTGTTGGATTCCGATCATCCAGTCCGGAGTTATTAAAATTTAAATAAAAATAGATCTAACCTCCCCCCACCATTTTATTTTGGTACATAGGTAGGAGAAAATGGTTCTAACAAAAAATATTCAAAATTTACTGAAGATTATGAAGCTATTACTTATAGTACACCTTATCTAGACAAAATTGTGTAAAAACTCCATTTTCTTATTTTTTGTTGCAGTTGCACCCCCTAGCGGTTGTTCTACAAACTTGAAAATAATTTCCAGCAATTTCTCATAGTCTCTTTAGTTGTAAATATTTTTTTCCGCAGGCCCTACGGCTAATACTTTCCGAGATACAGCCGAGAGCTATTCTTAGTGGGACACCCGGTACTGCATATACCTGCGTTAATCTCACATTCACAATATTCAAATTTACTAATATCATCACTGTTTGTTTCATTTGTATTATAAATTTATATAGGATACCTCTTTTTAGTTTAAGTGCTTTTTCTTTTATCCTTATTTTAAAATATCTATAAACATAAAATTAAAACATTTATTATGGTACATTAAATTGAAAAGCAAGTTAATAACTGCATCTAATTTTACATATTTAAAATACAAATAAAAAGATATTTGCACTTCTGTAACTAAAATTTGACAATACTTTATAGTTCCTGTGATTTTTCAAGAATGTTAATATATCCAAAAATAAAATAACAAAATAAGAAGCTTTGTTTTCAAATTACTCAGTTAAAAAAATATTTTTGCTCCCAACAAATTTATAGAGCATGCATTTTGTAGATTTAGAACATTCGCACATTTAGTTTAATCCCATATTTATTATTATTTATATCGATTGGAGATCACAAATATTCGTAGATTTTTTATACTTTTTTAACATTTTTGTTGCACATTAATATAATATGCGTTTTTTGTTTTATGCGACATTCTTTAATTACTAATTTTTGTTCAGCTTTTTTATAAACTTGTGTGAATGGTATAAGTATTTTATTTGTGTTTTACATTTATATATTATATTTTTTGCATGGTAAGTAACATCGAAATAACGCACTAATATGTAACTATAACTGCAATATTTTAAACGTTTTGCAGCCGTCAGAAGATTAGGATAACCAATTAATGGCATGAAGCTAAATTTGACTTATTTAAACTTCCTGCCTTTGCTCTGTAAGTAATATAACCACAATAACCACTGTATCTAACAGGTTCGTACTGTATTTTTTTCTTTAATTTTGACAAAATAACCTGTGTAACCTGAATAATGTAAAGCAATATTCTTAAATAAAGACCTGTTGTATTAAATGTATTATTTTTTATTGTAATTTTTGTGAAATGTAACCAAATAAAATGGATTAAAAGATATATCAGTTTTGAAGTGTATATTTTATCACAAAACTAAAAAATTGTATTTATTAGTTATTGCTGTAATACATTTCGATATATTTATAAACTATCATAATATAAATACAAAGTCTATACTCATATTTTTAAATGCATTAACAAATTATTTCCTAACAAAGATAAATTCAATACTAGATAGCTAAAATCATTTAAGTAATGAACTAGTGTCGTGCAGTGGGTTTACAAATTTTTTATTTTATTTTGATATAATTTTAATTTTTATAATAATAATAGCTCCCGTATATAGCGTTTAACGCCTTGGGAGTAGTAAGGTACAGCTTGCCATACTAGAGCCGTTCGGTATACAAGGAAGGTAATGTGGCTAGCACTACGCTTCAACCGCCTATTATTACCCCAGGATTGTGAGTCCCATTTAAGGCTGAGTCGACCTAGGTGCCCAAACTATTTTTATTTAAATAGAAATAGTCGGCTGTTGAAATGCCGGGTCTGGGATTCGAACCCACTACCTTGAGATTGGTAGACGAGAGCCTGTACCTCTACGCCACCGGGCACCCATTTTTTATAAATGCAACAATCTATATTAATTAAAGATAAGTTATTTTTTTTTCAATTTTTATTAAATATTGCTTATAAAAATCGTCATTCATCATAATTTTAAAAGATATGTTCTTCAAAAGTCGTCAAGAAGTTTATAGCCAAGTCTGTTCAAAGTGAGAAAGGACAATTTCGACAGACAACATCCAAAAACCCACATAAAAAAAATTACCTTTGAATTAAAATGACAATGAATAACATACAGTGTGTCCTAAAATATTAGACACATCATCATCATCATCATCATCACTTAGCTTATACCGTCCACTGCTGAAGAAAAGTATCCCTTAACTCTAGCCATTCCTTTCTATTTTGTGCCACTTGAATCCAGTTTCCAGCCACCCTTTTAATATCGTCTGTCCATCGACTAGGAGGTCGTCCTCTGCTTCTATAGGCCTCGTGTCTCGGTCTCCATTCCACAAGTCTCTTTGTCCACCGTCCATCTGTCATCCTAGCCACATGTCCTGCCCAATTCCATTTAAGATGCAAGACAGATATCACCGCTCTTACTTATAAGATATCTCTTACTCCTGTTCGATTTCGTATTGTATGATTGGGTATTTTATCTCTGAGTGTAACTCCCAACATGGACCTTTCCATTTTCCGTGGCATGACCTGTATTCTATGTATGTTCTTTTTTGTCAAAGTAAGCGTTTCAGCTCCATACGTGAGGACCGGCAAGACACACTGGTTAAAGATCTTTCTTCTTAAACATATGGGAATATCAGATCTCAGAATATCAGTATATGCCTTAGTTTACCGAATGCCGCCCACGACAAACCTATTCTTCGTAGAATTTCGTGGGTCTGATTATCCCTTCTAATACCGATCTCATGCCCTAAGTATTTATATATATGCACTTGTTCCAAAGGTATGTTATTAATGTTTAAATTTCCACTCAGTACTAGGTTTGTCATGTATTGTGTCTTTGACAAGTTAATTTTCAAACCGACTTTTTCCGAAGCATCATTCAGCATATCCAGCATATTCTGTGCCTCCTGTATGTTGTCTGTTATTAAAATAATGTCATCTGCAAAACAGAGATGATTTATCAATTTGCCATCGATGTTAATTTCTGTTGAATCCCTGTTTATCATTTTTAACATACTTTCTAGCACAGCAACGAATTAGACACATACGGATTTTTTTTATTATAAATTTCTTAGAAATCTATATTCCTGATAAAAGTCTTCACATTCTGCCAAACTCCAAATATTCTAGTCTATATTCAATTATTGTATTTCGTATACGAGGGAGTTTCAAATATATAAAATTCGCCCAAGGATAATTAAATGGTCAAAAAAGCGTAAAAAATACTTAAAATAGTTGTTTAGAATGAATACCAGATGTCATATAGTCACAGCAGCCAACTATGAAAAACTATTTAACGTTTTCTAATTGTTATTTCTTACATCCCCGTATTTAATTAGTATCGGCATATTTAATGTAATTAATTTGATTTTTTGTTACATTTTTCGTCGGTTCCGTGTGGATAGAAAGTCACAATTTATTTAGACACTATTTATTTAACACTAATTAACAAAAACAATAACGATAAAAGACTTAAAGAACTATTTACAAACGATTTATAACTAAGAATTTATTTTTGAATTTTAGCGCGTCAACTGTACTTGTCTATTTATAACTGCCCTCTCTAAGCCACAGCCGCCGGCTTTTATACCTACAGCTAAAGTTTACTAGAATAGTCCATAGATCGTTAGGTGCATAGAGAAGGTTTCGAATGTTCTCGTATGTACTACTCCATTCCAGTGGGACTCGATTCTTCTCGAATCTTCGAATGAATCATTACGGTGTCTATTCTTTAATGCGATGTTAAGGTCATCCGAGGGCGGGCCATATAGTTAGGTTAGGTCGAGTCCACATCAGTCCGCAACAATATTGCGAAACGAAGTACCTATGTAAAAAGTAAAAAAGTTTATCAACTATCCGACTTTCGGACATTTCATTCTTACAGTTGGGTTTGTATAAGAAAAAGTTAAAATAGAACTTTTTAAAATCTTTGCCGTCAATTTTTCACCAAAAAAAAATTTTCGAAATCCTTACTAATGTTATAAATATAATAAAATTATATAAGGATTCTTGCCACTTAACTGCTGATATAGAAATTTAATTCTACGCTGTGTTGGTCATAATATGGATCAACCTGCTCTCACTACCGGTTTCGGAGCCATACTCCATCATCAGGTGAGCTTGGGCAGATCCACAAAATGACAACCACAGCCCAGAGATAGTTAATTCCGACTTGTCGGAAAGTGTCGGTTAGATATTAGCTTTTTTCGGGTTCTTGTTATTACCGATTCTGAACCGCCCTAGAACTGTGATGCGTATGCGCAGAAGGAAATATGAAGACATTATTTCATTTGCGCATGCGCTGCCGAGTTCTAGGACGGTTCAGAATCGGTAATAACAAGAACCCGAACAAAGGTATTAAGTCCCGAACGGGAGATAGCGGCCTGCGTGCAATGGTAGTACTTTCGTACCACCGAGGCGCACTATCGATAGTAAAAGGATAGTAAAAGGCTTTTTTTCAGGCAAGCCAAATTATAAAATAGAAAACAAATTTCTTGCAGTATAGGTATATAATAAAATTATATAAGGATTCTTGCCACTTAACTGCTGATATAGAAATTTAATTCTACGCTGTGTTGGTCATAATAAAAAAAAATTAAAAAATTAATTTAAATAATTATAAATATAATGCGAAAGTTTGTATCAATGTATGAGTGTTTGTTACTCTTTCTCGCAAAAACTACTGAATGGATTTTAATGAAACTTTGCAATAATATGGCTTATACATTAGAATAACACATTGGCTATAATTTATAAAGATATTGTGTGAATTCAAAATATCAGGAAGGCAATAAAATAACACACGGTTCGGTTAAACTCTGTCAAACGACTGTCTTTATTCATAGACTATGTGTCCGCGAATTTTCAAGGCACTAGAGATTTGTTAAAATCGCACAGTATCTATGTAATGTAATAGATATGTACTGCCAGTTTTTTTGTGGTTAGGAGTTCATCATCATCATTATTGCCATTACTCGCTGACGAGTATTTGACACGCATCAGAAATTTCATCAGCTTTTCTGTGACTGAAAAGCCCGATACGTGATGTTATCTCTCTTTCGCACTCCGGACATTCAAAAATCTAATTACTTTGTTGCCTCTTTACTTTTTGGTTGTCGTTGTTATCTGAGTTTAGAATTCTTCTCCATTGCGTACTGTTGCTGTATTATCCCCTTTAAGTTTTCATGGAAAATATCCTTGTATCTCTTGAGTTGTCCACCCGGTTTCCTCTTACCGTCTACAAACTCACCGTAAAGAATAAATTTCGGTAGGCGGTTTTCTTGCATCCTGCATATATAACCAGTCCATCTTAAGCGGGATTTAGTAATCATGACTTCAGCGCTCTCGCAGCTAGCTTTTTTAAGGACCGATACGTTTGAGACATGGTGATACTATTTGATTCTTAACAGTTGTCTAAGATGTTTCTGTTGCAACTTGTTTAATGCGTTCATATGCCGGGGGTTGGGCACCCAGGTTTCGTTTCCATATAATATGATGGGGATTATTATTGCTCGGTACACTGCAAGTTTCGTTTTTTGTGCTCAAGTCATGCTTGAGAAAACCCTGTCTTTTAATTTCCAGAAAGCTCTTGAGGCGCTGCTAGTTCGAATTAATGAGAACTAGGCTTGATTCGCAAATAAATTGTATTTTCTGCCATTTTTTGTCATATATCCTCTATAGAAATCTTCTCCGGCTTCTTGGGCAGACGGCAATACATATTTCTAATTTAATATATGTGTTATTAACTGATTTTCTTAATGGCATTGCTGTTTATCGGCATTTATATTAATTTTCAAGATGCATTAGGTACTAGGTACCAGCGGCGTGCGGTGACAATTATAGGCGGGGAAGCGAATCAGTAAAAAACCCTATTTCGAGACATTACTTTTACATTTTCTTAAAAAACTTACCTTTGAAAATTCCGAGGCCAATTCCATTGTTCGATTAAAATTCCATCGAAAATTTTGTTAAACAAACAAAAACACATAAAGTTATAATAGTTAAAATACGATATTTTAAATTAATTTTCTACACTAGCAGAAGCAGAAGATTGTCCTTCTTGACCCTCCATTACAAACGAAACAGTAAACACTAAGTTAAATCCGAAAAAAATACAATATTACCTATAAAATCGCAAGCGAACCTGTCCCGATAAATTAAAAAGTCGCGGAAGGCGGCCGAAAGATCGCTGCCGTGGCTAGCAACTATGCTGGCTTAAATTTGTCGTTTGCGTTCGAGGTCAATAACACCTACACGAAGGAGGGATAGGCTACCGGCGGCGATTTCCAGACGCGCATCCATGCAGTAAAAGGCTAATTAAATTTACTACGTTTATGTGAGGTTTCAAATAAATAATTTTAACAAATTAAATTAATCTTTTGTTATAAAATAACAGTATTATTAACGTTTAACTATTTATTTTTTTTATCTTTAAAAAGTTTAGGGAAGCGGTGCTTCCCCCGCTTCCATGGACCGCACGCCGCTGCTAGGTACTTATTACATAGTCAGTTGGTTTACAAAATTACTAAAAAATGGTTTTTGTAGCATTATTCACAATAAAGTTAGTAAAATGTTTTCTTTCAATATTTGGATTTTCGTCTGTCGAATTTGTCCCTTCTCTTGAAAAACTTTAACTAATTACAAATATCTTATAAAATATGCAGGGTGTATTGAAAATAAAAAGTTAATCGCTTTCGATTAATCTAGAATCGTACCAGGTTAGCACTACTATATTGAACTTAATGATATATCTTTGCTATTCTTAAAAATGTAAGTTTCTTGCGACTACAATGCACATATATGAGCCCGTCTACGCGTTGCTGTTGCTGTGGCTAAAGTATACGTTAACTACCGAATTACCGAACTACCCGTAATTTATAGCCTATATCTTATTCTGATGTATAGGCTATAATTTTGTAAAATTAATTAAAATCCATTCGGTAGTTTTTGCGTGAAAGAGGAACAAAGATTCATACTTCCATACATACAAACTTTGGCGTTTATAATATTAGTAAGGATTAAAATTTTTCTGATTTAAATCTAACTTTTAAAAAAATTCTGATTTAAAATTTATAAAATTATTTTAAAAATATATACACATCTTCTTAACTGATATGAGTGACATGATATATCCCAAAATTGAACCATTTATTTGATTACATGGTAGGCTAGATTACGTATTTTACTACAACGCTAGACGAAATTGCATGATCGCGAACGAGAATATTAAATAAATTGTGATTTCTTTGTTGCGTAGGTGGTAGGTCGGACTCACGATCCTTCAGACACGGATACCAATGCGAACAGTGCCTGAAAAAGTTTTCGAGAAGAGATCATCTGCGTACCCACGAGAAAAATATACACGGCTCGGACGCGGGTCCCTTCAAATGCGTCATCTGCGAACAGCTCTATAAAAACACAGAAAGTCTACGGAAACATATTGCCAAATTCCATTTCACCAATATGAACGATCTGGGACAAAACAAAATCGAAGTGAAGATTTGAATGTTGATAACTTTTGAAACGTTAAACTTATGTCGAGCTGTCTATCGAAATAATTAGACTTGAGGTGGGTTCTCGTCTATCAGTCTCATTGAAGTAGTCTGACTGTGTCAGTGATTCGGTGTGACTAAACGAATAATGAACGTGAGAATGTATTTTTAATGAAACTGAACAATATATTCATACTCTCAGTAAAATTGAAAGTTTTATTCATTTTGACTGAATAGTGAATAAGACAGTTAAAGCACGGCCAAAGACATACTAGCCATGGTCACTTTATTTCCGTGGTCTGTACTATAATGCATATTAACTAACATGTAATTATAAATAGAGATATATACGGCCAGTTGACAGATAGAGAGGCGAAATAAAAAACGGCGTACAGTGTTGCCGGTTTATACGATAAATAAAATAATAAACGAAGATAATATATTTAAGCTATACAATAATGCTCATTTCTATTAGACAGTTGTTTAAGAATCTATTATAGCTGTAGTAGAATGAGTAACTAATTATGAAAAATAAAGTTCCAGCCCTAGATGCAACATTTTTCGTAAAAACCTACTTGTGCGATTTGAAATTTTGGTGCAAAACCCGTGCAATACCGCATATAAGAAATGTATCAAGCTAACTTTTATTGATTTTTCATTTAAGCTGTCTACATCACTGTCTTACACGTTAAAATCCAGGCCACGCAGTTTCGATGATCAGATTGGTGTACGTACACCTATCGTTTGATATGTCGTCTCCTTAGAGCAGAACAAGTCTACATCTATTATAAGAAAATTTAAATCTTAAGGGGGGCTACTTCCTATAAAATCATAATAATTCCTATTAATATTTTTTTCATCTTTCGATATTACTTTTATAAATTTAATGTGGAATCAATGAAATAATATCAGTGTTTATAGCCGCCCATACTAAAATATGTTAATAAAAAATTGGTAGGCAGTTCTTTTAGTTTCAAAGTAAAGGAATTTTTCCAATTTTTTTTATCTCAAAAACTGCGACTTTGACTGATTTTGATGTTATTACAAATTTTGTTGCAAATATTATTCCTAATCTTAAATTGAAAACCGCGTTTCGCTTAGTTCTACTGTAATTTTGGAGTTACGATTTTTTAAAATTTTTAACCCCCTCCCATACCCCCTTACCATCCCCCCACCCCCCACCAAAAACTAATGGCCAGATTCTCGGGTGCCACAGTATTTTGTGCCAAATTTGGTTAAAATAGGTTTAGCGGTTTTTGAGTTATCGTGTTACAGACGGACAAACAGACACCATGGAAATATTTTGTATTTAGCTCATTTATGACCCAAATAACTCATTTTGAGTGAAATTAAAAAACTTTTTTACCGATCTTAATAGCCTACCATACCTGTTGGTATGGTCGGCTAATAAATTGTTTCACAAAACAATTTTAGAAATACAAATGTACCATTTACATTACGTACGTCAAAATACTTGCTTTAACTCTTGTTTACACGGCAACGCAATCACAGACGTTTTGTAAAAACGGAAAACGTAGTTTCACGTAAAACACGCTATCACATTTGATAGGCGATTCGTCTGTCCCAGATCTCACCGACGTGTGTTACGGCGTGTTGTTTCCTGCTTGCCTCTCTAGTCCCGCAACTATCTCCTTTTGTAGTTGATGTAGGAATGTCCCAAAAATAAAATAAATCGATATTTTGTATCGATTCAACATGGAATATAACAAGATAGATCCAGAAAAAATTGCAACAAAAGATTGATCTTATTAAATATCGATATTCGATTCTGAATATATTGGTGTACTGGTATTATGATTATAATCTAGTATCGGTATGGGTATCGATACTTCTAGTATATTTTCGTAACCCTACTCATAACTTCTTTAACTCTAATAAAAATTGCAGGCATGTTAACACGTGTTAATACGTTTTACAAAATGTGTACACCCATTCCCACGTCGCAACACGTAGGATAGCGTGGCGTCGGGTGTTGGCTAATGTAATAATATTAATTATTACTATATACCCGGTACGTCTCAAATGTGGCTCACCCCTATAACTTTTTTTTATTTTTTCAGTTAAAAAAACGATATTGGCATGTTGGTATATGACATTGCTTAGAATTGATTGACGTATTCAATAGTTTTCGGTCACTTCCTGTTTCACCAGAAATTACTACAACTTTTGATTTTTAAATGGCACCCTCGATATTTTTTTACTTTATTCGATAGAAAATATGACTCTGAATAGAATTACATATCATATGTCAACTTTTGACATTTTTGCATATGGTTTATTTGAAATTATAACTTGCGGTTTGTAACGAAAATTTGACTCGAAGTATCAAGTGTGTGGTAACAAATTATTCGTAAAAAATGCTTTTTTCAAATATGCTAATGAGCCACCCTCGTTCCATTTGAAAAAATTGATATATGATTAAAAATACGATTTGAGCATTTTCTAACTGGCTAGGACAAGACACTAAAAACATTAGACGATCAAATCTATTTTTCCAAGGCTCCTTGATTAAGAATTAGTGTTTTTAACATAGCTATTCATAGCACTTTAGATTGAATTTTAAAATACGATTTTTTATTAAGCGAGAATGTCAAAAGTTGATATATGATATGTCATTCTATTCAGAATGCCGTTTTCTATCGGATAAAGTAAAAAAATACCAAGGGTTCCATTTAAAAATCAAAAGTTGTAGTCATTTCCGGTGAAACAGGAAGTGACCAAAAACAATTGAATACGTCAATCAATCCTAATTTATGTCATATACTAACATACCAAATCTCTTTTTTTATCTGAAAAAATAAAAAAAAGTTACAGGGATGAGCCACTTTTGAGACGCACCCGGTATATTATCTAATAAAATAATTGTGACGTGCTACAGTCTATAAATTGAAGTGTGAGAACGTATTTTTTTCGTTAAGTTTTTATGAAATATTGACAGAATTGTCTTCCAAAACTAACTCCTAGAGATCAATAGAGTTTCACTAACACCTCATTTATTTCTGAGTACTATTCGCCTAACCAACCATCTACGACATTTTAGTCGTTTTCCTACATCAGAATATTTTATAACTCGTATTCTAATTGTAAACAGACTTCTCGACAAAATTACAACTGGTTGTAACTTTGTATACATTTTATGATTACAAAATCAACGAAAGATGTCTAGACCAAATCAATGTATTCAACTAGCAATATAAAACGTGTGAACACATGCACCGTTTTCCGCCTTTCAGTAAGTAACACTGAATTAATCAGACTGCTTCAGTGAGACTGATAAGAGAGTAGGTAACCCACCTTTAGTAGTGATGTCATCGTCTTGAACACTGAAGCGACACGGGCAGTTTTTTACAAAAATCAAATTTTGTAGTATGTTCATATTTTAAAAATATATTTTTAAAACCTTTTAGGCGCAATCACGTTTATAATTCTGTTTTAAAGTTTTTTTAATTAATATTTATTACATTTAGTAAAAAATAAAACATTGTAATGAAATAACTATATTCAACAAAGTATTTTTCTTACTGTACAAATGAGCTTGTCAAAATATAAACTTCAAACAGAAAATTTGATCACGCTCACTTTAACAGAACCAAAGCTTACTGTCGCTTTTGTAGTCTGTAGTCTTGAAGTAGTTTGTTTTTTTAAACGTTTTCTTTAAGTTTGTTTCATGCTGTATTGTCTCTATAAATTTACCTAAAAACGAATGTAAGAGCACAGCCTAACTTATGATTTTACATTGAAATGAAATTTAACAGTCAAGACAAGTAAAGAAAAACATTGTATTAGGAATTGATTGATTTGAATAAAAATTAAATAAATAAACATAAGATCAGCTCTCGTTTTTGTTATACGTATATTCCATGGAACACAACCAACTGATTTTATATTAATTTTATTATTTAAAACAAACTACTTCATAAATAACAACTCAAATTTTTACTGCTCGGTTATAGATTTCGTTAAATAACTTACTTCAGTCTTCATCAATTGTATGTTTGGATTAAAACATTTGCATTAAAAATATATCGCAAATTCAAACTATAATAACATATAAGCAAGGGAATTTTAATAATTTTTTTTATTTATTTTTATTCGAAAATATTTTCCGTCGAACTCTTATACTTTTTTAAATCATACTACTTAATGAAAATTTTCTCATTATAAATGTGTATCTGTTTTAGTATGCATCTAGGTTTTATGTAATCTAATATTAACTCAAATGAGAGAAGGTGTAAACCAATTATTATTTATTTAGAAACATACCTTATTATTAGTATAATTATTATATCATAGTTTCGAAGTTAACTTTTCTTTTTATACAGTTGTTTCTCCTAATTTTTAGAATATTGTTTTAAATTTAATTTAAATTGTTAAAAATCGTCGTCAAAAACAAACTGTATTTAGGGTGTCTGATTTTTTTACAAGGTGATGAGACTTAAGTTCATCTTTTAATTTTAGTTTTCATTTTTTAGTTATTCTAATGCCAAATTATTTCTAGTTGTGTGCCATAAATCCTGCTGTTTGCTAGTCAATAATGCCTATTTGTTATTATATAAACGATGTTATTTAGGGCATTTTTCTACTAGTAAATATATTGAAAAACAATCTTTATGATCGAATTTAGTGTTAAATATATCATTATAACAATAACTTTATTAAGTATCAATTATGTCAACATTATAGTGCATATATTGTATATTTCATATTTAAAATATAAATACGTTTTTACAAAAATGTGGTATATTTTTCTATTTTCCCATCTTACCTCAGTCTTATTTCAAGTCATTTCTTTTTAATAGAGTCAAATGTGTTTTGTGTGATATGGGGGGGGGGGTGATTAATTTCATATGATTTTTAATTTATATCTTTTTAAATTATTTTTAATTATACAAAATCAGAAACCTACTGAAGGTCATTTATTTTAAAAAAAAATCATATTTATAGTGGAGAGGAATACTACTTTTTTTTAGGAGAAATTAATACTTAAGATTTTTTCCCTACTTTGTGTTTGTTTTTGGTCTTTTTGTCATTCAACTTGAAATGTTTATGTCAATGTAGATTTTTAAATTTTGAATTGTCCTTGTAAGAGTGTTTCCTTGAGGGATCCCCTGTAATGTGAACGTACGTCCTAAATGTTTTAACTTCTGAGACACGAGATGGTAAAATTTTTGTGAAGAACTACTACTTTTTTAATAAATAAACATTTTTAAAACATACTTCATGACATTGATTTTATAAAAACGTCGCATATTCTAGGATTGTATTAAAAGTGTTTGTCAAAAATTACTAGTACTACCCTTTATACAAGGGTACTACGAATGCATCGGAAAATATCAAGGGATCTAATTCGCTTGGAAACGAAAATAGGGATTTTTAAATTGCTTCATTTTTTCTTTTAAAATATTCAATGCAACACCTGTCGCACGCACGCCACTGGTAGAAAAAAAAATTGGGATTATGACCCACTAAACCAAAAGTATCTTATTATACTATAAAAACGTCTAGTCAGTATCATGCTTTAGTACAGTACGTCTGCTGGATCTGTGTCTATGAAAGGAATGCAGACAAAAAACATTTAAATAAATAACAATATATTTTATACGTCGACTTGACGAGTACGTCACCGCAAATCGCTCCTCCGAATTTTATTGGCTACTTGCAAATTTGTCGAATTTTTATTGATGAGACGCGTCGTCTAATTTTTTACGAAAAACATAGAGAGAATATCGTTTCCCCTCTCACGGATACCCCGTAGCTCTAGAACGGACAGACGTACTGTATGTTTCGTAAGTTTTTATAGTTGCATTAAGTGGTTTCGGAATTCAGAAACTATGGCGCTTACATAGTGGTAAATTGCCATTTGTCATCAAAGTCTTGTACTATTATTTTCTGTTTTGCTTGATTGCATCTGAAAAATAAATATGTTAACATATTATTTAAGGATATTTGGTAGTGTAGAAATATAGTTCTCTT